TGTGGATTTGCCAATTCTGTCGGTGAGGAGGGCTCTCGGGGCATGAGGAAAATGGGAGCGAAAAGTACGCACACACTTTCCTCATTCACCTTGCAAACGGGCTCCATTGTGATGAGTGCCAGCAGGTGCGAAAGAGGTCGGTAGATGAGACTCAAATGTCGAGATGGCGCGAGCTGAAGTAGGAGGCGCAGAGCACGACAGTAGGTGGTATGACCGGTTGATCCGGGTACAACCTGACGTGCGGGCAGACCAATGTCCGTTCCACAATCCTGTGGTCCAGAGAGCTGGTCAAAGAGATAATGCAACCGCGAGGGAATGAGTGGACCATGACGACGCAGGACTCGACACAAGACGGAGGCGATTGTGTACGGATCGTAGGAGGTGAGGAGGTGAGAAATGGGCCAATTATCCCTCAAGATGGTGGATGGTGGGGCTGCACTGGTTGGTGAGGGATGGTCACCACAACTGAGAAGCAACTTTTGGCTAAAAAGTTGTTTCTCCAGGTTGTTGACTTGGCGTTGAACTCCCGACCGCCGAAAGATGAATTTGCAGCAGTCTAAGGAAGAAGGAGTGTAGCAATGCGGTGCAGTGCCACCAACCAGTCAAACAATGTCTTCCAGCAAACAACCTACACTTCTTCCCCTCGACCAAGTGATTGATCATCACGGTAATCACCCTGTACCAGTACGTCATCTCCTCTAAAACAACCAGTGGTAGTGGCGATATGAGGTGGCCTGTTGGGGTTTTGCATGCTATGAGGGCTACTAGGCCTTACCTCGAGAGACTTTGTTTGAACTCCAAGTAGCTAGGAGATTATTCATTTTGACCGGAGTGAAAACGGATCTGGAGATGGGCGCGCCGGGAGAGCAGAGCAGTGAGGATGCAACAGATGCACCCTTTCGCCTACACATCAGCATCGTCTCCTGTTTACCAACCTCGGCGGCGATAAGGAATAGGTCATCGGAGCGAAATTCAATGAAAGACAGATAACTGGCAATTAAGTAGGTAAACGTTCGGGGATAGTGGAGACGAAGGTCCCACAAGGCGTGATCCGGTTCAACCAAATCATCATCCAACTTTTGGGTATACTTCCTCAGTATCACCTGTCCTTGCCGCTTTTGCATCCTCGGTATGGTTGATGATCCGACCTGCGGTGACAGGGCGAATGTGCTTGTGCTCGTGCTTGTGGTTGTTGTTGCTATTACTGTTTTGGACCTAACCAAGCCACGTTGAGATTTCAAGCCCCAAATATCACTGAGAGAGCGACTTTGGTGAGTG